GGATGAACACAGCAGGCCAAGCAGAATCAGAGGAGCAGGGAAGCTGACGTTTCGGGTCGAGACCCTCCTTCAGAAATGGGGAAAGCTCTTCTATCCGCCTCCCCCTCTCTCCCTATTTATTTCAGAATCCCCTCCCCCATTTCTGAAGAAGGGTCTCGACCCGAAACGTCAGCTTTCCTGCTCCTCTGTTGCTGCTTGGCCTGCTGTGTTCATCCAGCTCTACACATTGTTATCTCATAATGTCTCTGAACAGGTTGATTAAAGTAACTACAACTCCAAAAGACTTACCATAAGTTATCATCCCCTTGGTACACAAATATTTCAGTGGCCTTTCCTCACTGCAACTTTACAGCACTTGCCCAAGCTTTAGTGTGTTCCTTAGTATGCAGTCGTGGACCTTGGAATGTACCTGGTTGCAGCAGTAGATTGAGGAGAACTTGTACTCAAAGACAAGCAAGCTTTGGGTGGACCAAAAAGTGTCATTCACTGAGATGGTGGTCCTCCAGCCGCAGTTAACGTTCGCTTGGTGAATGCCTAAACAGCACAGTCCTGTACCAGCAGCTGCTTGGGATGAACCTTGACTAAAACTACTGTGTTTCTCTCCAGATCTGCTTTGCAAAGATACATTCCAGTCAGAGTTGCACCACCAATCTGCACTAATGCACAAGAGGTGTTTTCCTGATTTATTTAAGAGAGTAGAGTGACACTTCGATTTTTGTCTCGTTTTCCTGATTTGGGGCAACTTGAACCTGATACTGAATGTCTGAGATAAAAATTGTTCAATTCCTCCATGTGAACATTTTTTTATTTAATAAACTCACATTAAAGTTGGTCATTAGGATTGAGATGGTGAAGTGCTGAGGCAACACTAAACAATTCCTTTCTTTATGAAGCTTAGAAATTAACAGAGACTGACAGAGGCATTAAATCAATCCAGTATCTGCAGATATTTTGGATGTCCTGTAAACCTGTACAAAACTATTACTATTCATAATGGAAACAATAAAAATAAAGTTCACCTGCGTGTGATATTTTTTGTCGTTTCGGTTTTCTACTCCTATAAACAATAATTTCAACAGTTAAACAATGCCACAATTTGTGATTCAATGAAAAATTACTATAATTATGTCTGTCAGTTATGGTGATGACAATTAACAAAACTGATAAATGGTCTTGTATCAGTGAAATATCCTCCCTTACCTATGCTAAAGATGTTTTTGGGTAAATTTCCATTTATAGATCATATTTTAAATATTCTAGTGTCATAACAGTGTAGCAGAGTTCAGAAAATTTAATATATGTCAAGGCTGCAGTAAGCTTCTGCACAAAGTAGTGACTTTGGAAATTCATGATATTTCCAATGACTTCTGTTAGCTTTTGTGCTCCACTGCTATAAGCTTATCCCTATAAAAATCCAGGAAGCTGTCAGCATCTGCATCAAATTCAAAACTGTGTGGGAGAGGGAAAATTGGCTTGCTTAAATATTATGGCACAATTATTGTTGCACTGCATTTTCTAAAATAGGATTGTAGCAAATTGTATGATGGAATCAAGTCTCAAATTTTCTGTAGTCTCTCATTGTCTCGGTCATCTTAATTAAAAAATCAACTAATTGCATCGTAAACAAGTAATAATTAAAAAACTAGAAACCGTGGAGGTCCAAAGAAACTTGGTGGGTGAGGTGGTCATGAATATGCATCAATTAAAATGCTTTGAATGGGTATTGAATGTAATCAAAAAGATTACCTGACCAATATTGCATACCTTGCATTTGATAATAACTTTCAAGATCATAAGGAAACAGACAAGATAGCAATAAGAAATTACTTCTGCTGTTTGAGAAGTCTCGGTCTAGGGGTCGGAGTCAAAAACTGAGAGCCAGATCTTTTAAGTATGATATTATGAAATTTTTCGTCCGCACAAAAGGTGATAGGAGTTTGGAACATTCTTTCACAATTGGTGATTGATACCAGAGCATTGCAAATTTAGACCTGAGGTTGGTAGAATGTTGTTATCCAATATGTTAAGGGATATGGGACAAAAGTGGGTATGCAACTTCAGGTTGCAGTTTCAATTCAGTTTTGTTTGGGCCAGCTCATTTTGACTTCTGATATTTTATTCCCCAGTAGGCTTGTTTTACCTTAATTTATTTCTGCTCATCAAAATGAGAAAGCAAGAATTTCTCCAAGTTTATTTTGCATTAAATGTTATGCTCCCAAGTCAGGAATAGAATACGTCAAATGCAACATGATGATATCCCCCTTACAGCTGACATTAACCCTGGCCTCTGATTTGAAATTTTCTAAACCCAGTCACTTTAGTTGAGCTTCCTGAATGCGAGTGCTAATTCAGCGCTGAATCATAAGCAGTAGCTTGCTGTTGAATTGCACCCTGTGAGGATGATATTTAGATTGTGTAGATCTGCCACGGAGAATGGAAACTCTAATTTGATTAGCGTGGACTAGGTATAAACTTAATTCCTACTGATCGCAGGACATTATAACCTAACTTGCCAATCGACATCCAGCTTTAAATATTTAACTTTGCTATTGTTATAACTGCTCCAACTCCAGAATGAACTGGAGAATCTAGTAAAATCCCGGATGTATATTTGAAGGAAACATAAATAGGGAAGTTTTCTAGAATTTAAGCCATTCACAGGTGGTTATACCATCTTAATATTCTGCTTGATTTGCAGTGACTCGTCTTTGATTTGTGAAGTCTATTTGTATCTCTGCTCTTAATACTTATAGGTGTGGCCTTACCTTCTCGGTGGGGCGTTTCTTTAGATGGATGGTGGACACAAGGGTTTCAGTGCGTATTCATGAATATGCCGCAATCTCTTTGGCTGCCTGCATGGAGAGTCTGCTGGAGGAGATTGGGATCAGGGTAGCAGCAGGACATAGTTCAGAAGGAGGAGGGGGAGCCATGCATGATGGCAGACAAGAGCTTTCGCTGGAAATGTTGGAGCTGTGCATCAACAATGATGCTGAACTCTGGGGAGTCCTGCAGCCTTACGAACATCTCATCTGTGGCAAGAATGCAAACGGTAAGGAGAGACTGGCTGACAGAACCCTTTTCTGAAACTTTCAATCCCATTTTATGGTAATTTAATCCTGTCATAACATTTTCATTACTAAGCAGTTAAGACAAAAACTTCTACTAAATGTATTTTGAAAATTGCGAACATCTTTTGTTTATAATGCTTTCAAAGCTTAGAGAATGTTATTCCACAGGAAAGAGGAAGTTTAATTTTGGAACAGCTACCTGTATATTTAGTTGCAATATTTTGGATGTGAAAAGTAGAGTCAGTAGCAAACTCATACTCTAACGAAAAGGGACATTTCTACCAATAATTTAATTTCAAATCTGGACAAATAGCCGTGGCCCAATATGCAAGCCAGGGAAAATGGATAGATTAGGAAAGGTGGAAAGCCACGCTGTATTTTAAATTTCAGAATACTGTAGTAGAGTAAGACTGAAGAAAAAGATAAGAATTGAGCTGGAAGTGCAATGCCTTATGAATGCACTCAAGGATAAAAAGATGCTTTTCAGTTCTGTGTGTCACTGGGGACAGATTACATTTTTGAACCATTCAAAGTATCTAAAATGACGTTCCAAAATTGTTCACAGTTATTATAATGCTCTCTTGCAAGACCCAGGGATGGCATCAGCTGTTACTACAATCTTTCTCTGTTGGGAGGTATGAAGTCCAGATTTAGTGTAACTGCAAGGGAATTGCACTTTTAGTAATTGCATATAAGTTTCAACTTCTAACATGATATAATAATAGCAAGCATTGCGATGTAAGCATTTGATTAATTTGTTTGGCCTCTGCATCATCTGTTGCTTTTAATGCCTGAAATATTTAAAAGCAAAACATTTATCAAACCTGTATTCTGAAATCTTCTGAAGAAGGGTCTCGACCCGAAACATCAGCTTTCCTGCTCCTCTGATGCTGCTTGGCCTGCTGTGTTCATCCAGCTCTACAACGTGTTATCTCAGATTCTCCAGCATCGGCAGTTCCTACTATTTCTGAAATCCAGAGTTAAGATTTACAATTGAGAGAAGAGCACGATAAAAGGGCCTTTAAAAAGATTGCAATTTCATACGCTAAATATAAAAGACCATTTCTCAAACTGTCATGTTTAATATAAATCCTAGCCATAACGCAAAGGTAAAAGAAATTGGCTTTTTTTTGAGGCATTGGAAGCATATTATTATAAGATTGACATGCTACTGCAACTCTCGTGGGGTCAGTTTTATTTCTTTGGGGAACTGAAGCTGATTAAACTCATGGTGTTCTTTGTGCAATGATTTACGATACAGTAGTCTTTTAAATGCAAAGTCACCATGGCGGTGATTTTACTTTTGAGTTAATACTCATTTAGGAATGTGAACAACAACACATGGATTACTGTAATAATGTTATTCAAACTTTCCAAAGGAAAAATGATGAATAAAATAATTTCAGAGAATTCACCCTTTCTTTTCCCTTTAGAATTTCGCCAACGTTTTCAAATGGCAGTCACTGCTCAACTTTGACTGTTTCCAACTGCTGAGGTTAACACACAGTGGAATTTTCTCTGATTTCTACTCTGAGAAAAGGCAGGGAAATTTCATCTCCTGTGGGTTTGTTAAAATGATTCTGCTTATCAGGGTTTGATCTTGTTGTGACTTAAACTGCTTGGCTCATAGTATCAGTTTAGATCAGGAGAAGAATGTTATAATAATCATTGCAAAATTGCTGTCTAAGAGTATTTAGCTTTGGTTTTATTTCACTTACACTTTTGTTTGACTTCGCTTTGGGCATTCAGAAGTCCTGGGCAATGTATTGGCATTTATAAAGAATTATACGTACTGACGATTTTGATGTTTTTGAAAAATTATCTCCTATTAAGGAAATGTTATTCCAAGTATCTGTAACAGAGATTTGCAGAAATAGACTTACTGACATGCTGTCCATTTCTTCCAGAAAATGTAAATTTATGTCAGTTCAAATGCAATAAGCAGTGCTGTAGGAAGGTTTTCGGAAAGACTTGTATATGTTGTGAATTATGATTTTTGCCTGTATATTAAAAAAAGAAAGAACCTCAGATGTTGAAAATCTGAAACAAAAACAAATTGCTGGAGAAACTCAGCAGGTCTGGCAATAGCTGTAGAGAGAAACCAGAGGTAATGTTTCGAGTTCTGTGATCCTTGGGGTCTGAAGAAGGGTCACTGGACTTGGAACATTTATTCTCACCACAGCTGATGCCAGAACTGCTCAGTTTCTCTGGCAATTTCTGTTTTTGTTATTATTTATGCCAGTTGCCTTTAATTTACAATAATCATTGAACATATATTAGCAATTTTGATATTGTTCAGCAATAAAAGTCAAACAAGTTATAAGGTTAAGTTATTACATAAAACAAAATGTAAAGAAACAGCTTGGAATGATGGAGGGGTAAATTCATCCCAGTTAACAGCTGGACAGAACTGTTGTTGTACAATTGGTGGTGGCTTATCTGAGTCTTTGTCTCAGACTAAACATAAACTTGCAAATATATGAATGCATGAATTCGGAGTAGACCATTCCACTTCTCAACTGCTCTACAGTTTGATAAGATTCAAATCCACATTCCCATCTACCCCATTAATCTTTAATTCCCTTGTTCGTCATGAATCTATCACATTTTAAGCTTAAAAGAATTCAATGACTTAGCCACCACTGCTCTCTGTTAAAACTCAACCCTCTGAAAGAAAACTGTTTCTCCTCATCTGTGCCTTAAATGGAAAACCCACACTTTTAAACTGTATCCGCTTGTTCTAATTTCACCCATGGGGAAACACTCCCCCTTGGAGATTCCATCCTGTCAAGTCCTCTCACGATCTTGTATGTCTCAATAAGATCAACTCTAATGCTTATAATCTTCAAAAGATACAGGCACAACTGGTCAAACCTTTCCTCGTAAAAATCTCCTTCATCTTGGGAATCAGATGCTTGAACCTTCGCTGAACAACTTCCAACATATTTTACTCAGAGATAGTAAGAACTGCCGATGCTGGAGTCAGAGGTAACAAGGTGTGAAGCTGGAGGAGCACAGAGGGCCAGGCAGCATCAGAGGAACAGGAAAGTTGACATTTTGGATTGGGGCCCTTCTTCAGAAATCTGAAGGGTCCCGACCCGAAACATCAACTTTCCTGCTCCTTTGCTGCCTGGCCTGCTGTGCTCCTCCAGCTTCACTCTATGTTATTTCCAACATATTTTATATCCCTTCTTAAAGAAGGAAACCAAAACTGTAACAAATAATAAAACTTAATTTGCTTTCATAATCACTTGCTGCACCTGCAAACTAACATAATGTGAACCATGTACCTGGACCGCCAGATTATTTTGTGTCCCAGATTTTTGCAATCTCTCTCCATTTAAAAAGCATGCCTTTCTTCTATTCCTTCTGCTTCCTTCAAGCCAGTGCTTCATGAATGCTAATACGCTGGTCAATATTTTCCATAATTTAGCTTTAGAATCAAGAATATCATGCGGGAAATGGAAATTTGGCATTGATGCAGTGGGATCGGCTAGACTGTGCAGTTGGGTTAAAGCAGGACATCTGATTCTTTTACACAGAGAAACTTTTTTTTTCTTAGAGCTGACCTCTTTGGCATACATGACACCCTTAATCCAAATTTCTTCCTCTAGTCTCAAAATAATCTTCAGAACTGATGGAATTGCATAGTTTTCCGAATTGGGTCTTGAGACCAGTATTACCATATGTAATTTAGTGGGATGATTTTGCTTTTACCAGCGAGTTAGTGAGTTAACTTTACTGCAAGTGTCCCCTTCTCTTAGTTATTATCATTGTTCACTGTGACAATTCATAATCTCTATCAGATACAGTGACTGACCTTGCTATTTGACACACTGCTCATGGGCCAAGGTCACTAGTATTTTAATTTAATGATGTCAGCTTTGTCTCACTCGTCCACAATGTCAGTTGTCCAGGAGGTGCTGACAGAGGTGCCTTTTTATTAATAAGATGTTAAACTGAAAGTTCATCTGCCTCAGTACTATTTGAAAAAAGGGCAATCTAGTTCTTTGCAGGATCCTGGAAATATCTAAGCATCACTCAGAAAACATATGAGCTGGGTATTATCCCATTACTGTGTGTAGGACCTAGCCATTTGCAAATTTACTGTCATTACCCTAAAGTGCAAATACGAAAGTGGCAAAAACACTGATGTCAAGCCATATAATTCAGGCTAAAACTACTTATCAAGCTTATTATAATGACTGAAGTTATACAGAAGCTTCAATAGCACGCGAGATAAATAGGTAAACCAGAATACCATTTGTAATAGCATCTGTTCCAAAGTATCAAAAGTTTAAAGAAACCATTCTATGCAATAATGAACTTTACACAAAAAATGAGTCTCAGCTCTGCTATCCTCTAACTATATTATCAGTCCAATGAAATGGAATATTGAAGGACATTAACAAAAGAAATAGAAATATATAATGAAATCAAACTGAGGGAAGTTTAAATCTTTTTATTCACAATTAATCAAGCTGATCCACTACAGATAACACCTGTTGAAGATTTAGAAAAAAGCTGCTTTAAATAACTTTTATGAAAAACTCATCAGATTGGATCCAGGCCCTCAATTCTCCTCTTTAGTCACAAAAACCATTTACCTTTAACAAATTGACTTCCACAACCTGCTAGCTTAAATGTGCCATTAACGTCCAATGTTTTTACGAAGAGTTGTATTTAAAACATTGCATATGATCTCTCAGGCTAATAAAAAGTACCTTTTAAAGACCCATAAGATCAGCCAATTAAAATTATATAAGCCTGGCACCTTGAGCCAATGACAGAATGTTCCAATCTACTGCTTCTCTAAAGAAACCAAATTTAGTTTTATCGTCAGGGGCTGATTTCCAGGCATTATGACTCCAGAAAACATATTAATGAAAAGCAACAGAAAATCAGTTTGAACAAACCCAGCTGCTACTCATTCCCATTTGAACGATTGACTGCTTAGACTAAGCAGCTATGTTTCATCAAT